GTATGCACATACTTGCAGTAAGAAGTTAAATGGAACCCTTCTGAATCAAAACTTTCCCCAAATTGTTTTAGCTTCTGCTCAAATAAATTATCTATTGTGCAAGATTTATCCAATGATTATACTTCAAAAAAATTAAATTGGGCTGTCAAGATATCTGTAGAATATTTTTTTGAGCTTGATTAAAGAAACATATTTCAACTTATGTATGTTTCAACTTAGTGGGTGGGGAGTATGCAGATCATTGGTAGAGAAGTTACCCTTTCAAAACAGGTTTCCATAAAAGTTTGTTTGGGAGCATTAAAAAGAACTGTGTGGTTTGAAAGAAGTGATGTTGCTCTAAAAAGTAAACAATTTAGATTTGCATTTCAGCAACAGGTACTTCCCTTCTAGTTTTATTGGAAGTATCACCTCTTACTTTTTCCTCTAAGTTATTGAACCTCTAGCTTTAGAGGGACTGGGTCCTAATCAATAGTAAGTACAAAGTCTGTTACCTTCCCTAGAACAGTGGTCACCACATAGGACATAGAGGATGGGGCAAAGGCAGGTTTACAATTTTGAGTACAGGAAACAGAGTTAATTCTTCTTTTGTTTAATGTTTCCGTAAGAACTGTAAACCTGCTTTTGCTCCACCCTGCTTCTCAGGCCATCTGCTCTCTGTCACAACTACTCAGCTCTGCTGCTGTAAGCAGGAAAGCAGCCACAGGCAGTAAGCAATGAATGAACCTGACTGTGCTCCCATAAAACTTTATTTACACAAAACAGGCGATGGGCCTGATCTGGCCCACCAGAGTTTGCCAATGTCCCAGACCTAGAACATCAGATGATCCTTAGGTGGCCCAGTTCGATAATCCTCTAATCCCTTGTTTCCTCCAGACTATCATAAGAGAGCTTACTCTGCTGTCTGAGTCTCATTCAGTCTTTGGACATCAGTTAAGAAACAAAATAAGACTATTGAAGAGAGAACATTAAACAAAACGACTAAGAAGAACATCTCAATGTTTCTTCCTTTGGCTTGTTGGTTTGGGAAAATACTGTGTTAACTACCCATCCCTTTTCACCTCCTTGAAGAATCCTCATTAGGACCAAGAGGAAGAAGCCTTACACTGAGGAGAGACTGCAAGGGGCTATCAGAAATACACGATGCCAGATACTTCTAAGATGAAGAAGTACCCATTTGGTGGCATGGTCATGACAGTGCCCCATGATTCAAGGAAAGGGAGTCCACGTACCACCCGCAGGACCTCAGCATTCATATTTCAAGATTCAACAACCTGCCAAGATCTAAGACCAGCAAAGGGATCTGCATTCAGCCCATTCAAAAGTTGTTTCATACAAGATAATAAAAAAAAAGTATATGACAAGTTGAACACAGTCCTCTTTAATATAGTGGAAACTACCTGATCTCTCAAGAAAACATTCCTATGTATCCTGACTCCAGACAAGTTAGGGTTAGGATGCAGGCTCAGTATACAGACCTATACTGAGCTCAAATAGTCTCACCCACAAACAGGTGACTGCCACAGAGCAAAATGCAAGAAGCTTATTCCTTATAAGACCAGGTTTTGATTAATTCATGATATATGAGTATATTATATACCTACTATGAGCTAAATACTATGATAGACAGTCCAGTTACAAAATTGAACACAACCCAGTCCTCATTCTTAAAAAGCTTAATCTATCAGGGAGAATATATAACAAGTGCCAATGTGTTTTACATAATGTTATATAACACATATAGTAAATGCTATAGAGGGCTATCTGAGGCAGAGTACTGGGACAGATGAGGGAGTGATAACGACTCCTGGGATAAATCAGCCTGAGTGTTAATGGTTTCAGAAATGACCAGTAGACAAAGGAAGCCAGAAAGACACAATGGCTCTGCTTAATTTTATAACACTATTATCAAATCAAGTCTAAAAAGTAAGTGACAAATACATCCAGGTAAGATAAACAAATGGAAGTCAAAAAGAGAAAGAAAACATTGATTAGATGATTTATTACTAACAGTTTTTGCAAAAGTAATGTCTCTAACTGTAAGATCTTTCCTGTCAACTTCTCTCCTCAGTTGCTTCTGGTAGGTTTCAATTATATTTTAACTTCGTTTCTGTCCTGCTACAACCACATTCACTCGTCTGCTAGTGAGCATGTCTTTCTCCTTCCAGCTGGCTTTCTTATTTTTCAGTTTCTAAAAACTTAGAAACAGAAAAAAATCTGGTAAAAATAACTTGGTATCATGTGATTAAAGGAATCCTTTTGCCGCTTCACCAAGATCTTACATTTATTCTTAAATAGTGCTCCAATAGGAAATGAAGTTCCTATGTAATGTCTGAATGTCTTTGAATGGTTTACACTTAGAATAAGTTTTCACACACTATTTTAAATGCATATGTAAGACATTATTCCTTTTTTTTTTTTTTTTTTTTTTTTTTTTAATAGAGTGATAAGTTATCCTGTAAAGAAGAAAGCCCTCTAACAAATTCTGGTCCAAAATGTGGTTTACCTTATGCTCTGGTTTCTTTTTAGATTGCATAAATCTTTTTGCCTTTTACAAAATGTGGTTTACCACAATATTTCAGGTAGTTTAAAGGAAGGAAAAGCAATTAGAAGAGTTGTAAAAAGGAAGAAAAGAAGTACAGAAAAACATATAATAAATCTAAGTTTCCCTTAGAAAACAATCTTTCAAGTGAAATGTTAATAGTTCTAATGAATGCAGAATTACCATTACGGAAACCACTTGAATTACCACCCAAATGATCCTTAAATAGTTATACAGAAAATAGAAAAACTGTCCATTAAGACAAAAATTAGATAATATTTTCACAGTGAAAGTTAGGCAAAGCTTTTGGAAAGTTTTAGAATGGTTCACTTAAAAAAGTAATCTAGGAGTTCTGAATTACTTATGTAACTAAAGGTTGGTTTTATCTGTGAAAACCACATACAATATTAAGTATTAGCACATAACCAACAATTATATAGAGTATTAGACCAAAGGAAGACGACTTTTTTGGCTAAATGACAGAGAAATGTAAACTAAATTATATAGCATTGAAAGACAGCCCACCACTATTCCCTCGGATTTAAGTCAACTATCAAGGCGAAAACTGTTGGGAGAAGAAAACACAATACAACAGTAAAATCTAGTCCCTCTTAAAAGGTTTAGAGCACTGTTAGTTAAAAGGCCAATTTTCACAGGCAATGATGTAAGTTAACTGAAAAATAATGGTTACTGTGGTGGCTTTAAAACATGTATGCAAATTCTTTGACATCCCTCTGTTCAAATGATGGGCCAAGCTTAGCATCTCACATCTAATGAAAAAAAGTCAGAAGTGATACTGTGTAACTACCATGACTAAGTCATTAAAAGATACAGCTTCTGCCAGGCATGCAAGCTTTCTCATGCTGCTGTCTCTTAGAACCCAGCCATCATATCGTGAGGAAGCCCCGGTCACATAAAGAGGCCACCTGTAGGTGTTCCAGTCAATAGCTCCTGCTAGAACCCCACCTGACACCAGCATCAACTTGCCAGTCCCATGGGGGAATCACCTGTCTTCAGGTGATTCCAGAACCTGGCCTTCAGGTGTTCTCGCTTTGGCCCCAGGTACTGTGAAGCAGTGAAGAGCCATCCCTTCTCTGAACTCTGAATTCCTGACCCATACAAATGGAGACAATAAAATATTATTGTTGTTTCAAGTTACTAAATTTCGGGGTAATTTGTTTTGCAGCAACAGATAACAGTTACCTGAAAGCACACACCCTTAAACATGGAAGAAATTTTTTTTTTCAAACTGAAAAAAATAATCTTTATACAAACCAGTTTAGGAGATTTAATGTTTGGCAGATTTTATTTAAATAATACAATTAAACTTCCTTAATATAAACTTTTCTAATTTGAAATCTGAGGAAATTAGAACATAAATTTTAGAGTGGTTAGGCTGAATATCATCATTAAAGGTCTAGAAAGGAGAGTTTAAGTAATCCACCAAAGAATACATGGAGAATATTGAAGCTAATAAAGAGAACTAAAATAAGTACTTTAAAGTACAGCGCTCTCCACATAGAAGGCACTTGATCGTTACAAAATGTCAAATGAACATTAGAAGCCCTAAATTTTTCCTAACCACTTCTTACACATTAATTATTCTATTTGGCAAATCGGTAAGCTTAGTTTGAGCAAATTATTTGTGCATACGTATATTTTATCTTTTCTTAATTAAAGGTGAGCTCTCTGAGGGTATCCTTGTTCATCTCTGTATTCCCCAATGGACATAACACAATGTTGTACATCAAATACTGTACTTAAATATTTATGCAAATGATCAAACTGCACAGATGGACCTGAAGCTAACTCAAGGGTCTTATAGTTTACTTTTTTCTTTTATTTATATGTTCTGTCCTTCCCCCAGAATTAGTCCAAGCTAGTTGATGTATTATTGTATTTCCAAGAGATACTGCATACCCCTTTATCATCATTTACCAGTTTACTCATAGTAAAGATAAAATTACAAATGGTTGCCATGGAATTGGTCATCTGTGGTGATCAAGACACTCCCCCTCGTCCTCAGAACTGTGCATACTGCCAAGCTCGCCAAACACTGGGCAGCTCCGTTCAGGTCAGGCTGTGCAGTGCGGAAGCTGGCTCATTTCCTCGTGCAACTGAGGACAGAGAAAACCTAATCCATAAGTTCTCTGTTCTGTTACAGGAAGAGATTTATAGACCAGCATTAATTTTTAAAATATTACAAAGACCAACCATTCTACTTAAGACAGAAAAGAATAAAGACACCTAATTTTTTGTTTATTCCTCCAACTTTTTGTTATATTGCCTATGCTCAGACTTACACTTTTCACTGAATCAAAATTCTGAAATATTTATGTATAAGGTTACAGTTGTCTTTGAAGTTAATCAGTTCACTAAGCAAGTTTTTCCCATACACATTCTTACTACTTATACTTAATTCCCATACACTTAATTACTACTATAAATAAGATATTCACAATTTCTCTAGTTGTAATCTGAACATTTAATTTGTAGTAACAAGATGTGGGGTCTAGTACAGACTTTCCAATTCACTCTAAGGCCACAGACAAGCCATTTTAGACCTCTGCCTTCATCCACATCTAACAGGGATAATACCTTTTCAAACCTACTTTATAGGCAAGTAAGCATAGGATTTATGTGAAAATATTTTGCTGAAGTTGCTAAACAAACACGGTAAAGTAGGAAATGTTTTATTATACTATTTTCTAATATTTGATTTCCTTTTAATAATTTAACCAAAATAAAGATTGCATACTTTTGAACTACAAAATGTAATAGTTATACAAGGTGAATTAAAGTAGTAAAGCTGGTCATAATAGTAAACCCATTCATCCATGCTCTCATTTAATTACATTATGAAGTAATAATTATAAAAAGAGGTAAAATTTTGTAGAATATTCCTATTTATTCTATCCTAGGAGTTCTTGCCCATATCCATGGACTGTCGGGCGTCGGCCATGGCATCAGGTACTTGAACAGTCATTTTGTCCATAGACTTTGTCAAACAGACTTGGCAGCCCAGCCGGGATCTGTATGAAAAAGAGGGAGGTATGGTTTAGTACTAAATATGTATTATTCATAAAACAATGCAGCAGTATAGAAAACTTTCTTACCCAAAGAAGTTAGAAATTTATTTATCTTTTAAATTTCTATTAAGTTGAAAAAGATACATTCAACTCTCAACTAGAGGTTAACAAAATGGGAACATGAAAAACAAAAAGCCTAGTGGACTGAAGCTTCATTTTAGTCTTCAGTCTCCATCATCTTCTAATTGTTTCACCAGAACTACTGCTTTTTGGTGAAAGGACTGACAGGAAATAAAATAATCAGAGGCAGAACAGTGGGGAAGAAAACAGGTTTTAGCAATCCCAAGAAAATGATTAATCAATTCCGAGGTAATTAAAATCATACAGACAATAGACACTTTAAAATAAGAAATTGGGAAGTCATCAATTATCAGATACATATTTTCCCCACACCTTTAACATCTCTAAAATCAAAATAAATCTTAAAATCAATGACATCATACAATCATTGTGAGGCAGTAGTCTCATCAGAGCTGCAAACTTGGTTACAATATTCATGTAGGTGTCTCTTCAAATGAGTTATGAGAAATATGTTACTACTACATGTGTTGAATTTAATTATCAGTCAAAATTAGTGCAAAGGGTTGTAAAAGAAAAAACTAAAAATACAAAAACACAGCAGAGTATACATTTGATATTTGTAGAAGTATAAATTTGATATTCATAAAGCAAGTATTTGTAATTGGAAGATAGCTATAATTCCATTTTCTTCTTCTTTTCAGAGATACTACCAATTTTATTTATACTTTCCTTTTTTAACAGATATACAAGTCATGCCAAGGTAATTCAAAATAGCTCTTTTACTCTGCAAAATTGGTTAAATGCTAAGAAAACTTTGTGCCCTATTCTTACTAGCACAAAGTTATCTTAGCATTTAACCAATTTTTCTTTCTTAGTTGCACACAAAAATAAATGCCAGTCTTACAATCAAATTGTCTTCCATTTGATGGAATATTATATGCAGATCTTGGTTCATGAACATATCTAAGCATTTACTAAACATCTAAAGGCACAGCACTAAAAAGTCAGTTGGGATACGAAGAACAGCAACTCACTTCAATCCTTTGAATATCTGACATGCTGGGCACTCGAGGCGGGCAAAAAGGAGGAAACAGGGATCAGAGCCTTAGAGCCAAATAGACCAGTGGTTCAGAATCCAGCCTGAACACTGCATGTACACTTTATTCAACTCTAACTAACTCTAACAAACACCTCCCCAAACCCCTCTAAACTCTAACAAACCCCTTCCCAAACTCTAGTTTCCTAATCTCATCCTAAAGATGAACAATAAACAGGTTCCTCACTGGACTACGGTAAGGATTAGTTGCTAATATGAGTATTAAGGAGTGAACTTTCAACCAAATAGAAGAGATAAGACACATTAGTAGATAATTAACATATGAGCTTGTGACAAATGCTAGAAAGTCAAAAGGTCTGAGGTAGAAAGCACTTCTGTCCAGGAGAGCTGGTGTTTCAAATGGGCTCTGAAGAATGGGTAGGAATTAATATTTTACAATAGATAAAGAAGGACATCTGAGGCAAAGGTAACAGAATTCCAGGTACGTGTGAGGCAATGTGGGTTTTTAGCTTGGCTGCTGCGCAGGGCACACAGGACAAGAGAGTGATGGGCTTGAAAATGACCAGGCCACAGACAGCTTTGAACGCCAATAAAAGAGTTCAAGTTTTAAGTGGTGAAGCAATGAGGAACCGCTGGGAAGTTTTGGAGTAAGGGAGTAAGTACAACCATGGGAAATACTGATTATTAATAGAAAAGGAAACCCCTTTCTACACTAGTTCCTATTTGTTTATTAGAAACAGCCTTGACAAACTGAGGTACACATGAAGCTCCACCTGCAAGGGAGAAAATGAGGCAAACCACTTTAGACCAATTAATTAGTGCTCTCGTGAGCCCTAGAGACACAGGTGGTTATTTGATAGCATTAGCCTTCAAGGAACTTTTAACTTAGTAAGAGGAACAGAGATAGAAAGAGCTGTCAGTGAAACCGGGTGGAATAAGTAAAAGGTGTGTTATGGAAATACAGGCAGGGGTAGCACTAAGAGCCCCTGCTGGCTCTCTGACCCTGGAAGGAAGGGCCGAGTCACAGAGTCACGCTGGGGCTGCTTTCTCCCCTGCTTCTCTACCTCCTTAAAGGTCTCTGGCTTGAAGGTCTACTCAGTGTAGAAAGTGCCTTACACATCTGGAGAAGACGACAGACAGCAGGTCTTCTTCCCTCATCTCACTATTAGTCCCACAAAATTCTGACACTCGTGCAAACCTTGAAGATACTTTCTCCAGTCACCCTTGTCATATATTCATTCCTGACAGTGGAATATACTGGCTGTTGTGTTTACTTCTAAGTTTGGGGAGGCATCTTGAAAAAAGTAAAAAATGAAGGGCTTTAGGCCCAAAATAACTGATTCAAATCAGGACCATCATTCTTTAGTTGTGCAGCCTTGAGCAAATTTCTGGCAACTAAACCTTGTTTTCCAACCTAGAAAATGGTGATAACACTGCCTAACTCTGATGGCTAGAAATAATCTTGAATTGACTGTGCATTACAGTAAGTACCTGACACATAAATTGGTATGATTATAGTTATAATGCTAACAACTACTTTTTAATGAATGCTTTCTCCACAGCACTTCATACAACAACCCTATGAAGTAGCTATTCTTATCCTCATCTTACAAATACAGAAATTGAGGCCTCTCTGTAGATTACCCATGGGAACTGGTGGCAGCAAGTGCTCACAGTCATCAAATACAGATTCACAGGTAATTCCTGAATCTCTCTTTCTATCGACCATTAATTCCACCATTAGCTGGTGATGTCCTATTAATAGTTAATGCCATAAAAGCTAGTCCTTATTCTTCATTTTCGTGTTCTAAAACTTCAGATTTTTATTATTAAAGTTCTTGGCTAGTTCACATTTACATTAGGTCTTTTGTACCTTTTGACATTTGTGCATCTCTTCTAACCCTATCTCTCCTCTAATTTTTTTTTTTTTCACTTAGAATATCACCTATTCCATGCACCTACAAAGTTATCTAAATAAAAGGGTAAGTAGTTGTATGAAGTTATCTAAATAAAAGGGTAAGCAGTTGGCCATGATTTACTCTTCCTATTAGGAGAGAAACAATTCTTAGAACCAAATTAATGCAATCTCTAAGTGTATTCTGTGTATTAACTATACTTTCTGAAAAAAAGCTGTTGACAGAGATGGTGGCACCTAAAGATGTGAGGGGGACAGACAGATGGCAGTCATAATCCGCTCTGCTTGGGACTCTACGGAGATACTATCTTCCTAGTTCCTCTCCCCAGGGTACTAGTCTCACCTCCACCAAGAGGGAAATGAACTACAAAAGGGATAAAAATCATTCTTCACCTCTAAATAAATACCAATGGCCTAAGCATTTTTGTGAAAATAAGAAAATCTATGTTTTTTAGCCCTGGCTGGTGTGCCTCCATGAACTGAGTGCTGGCCTGCAAACCAAAAGGTCGCCAGTTCGATTCCCAGGCAGGGCACATGCCTGGGTTGTGGGCCAGGTCACCAGTTGGGGGAGGTGTGAGAGGCAACCACACACTAATGTTTCTCTCTTTTTCTCCCTCCCTTCCCCTCTCTAAAAAATAAATAAAACCTTTAAAAAAAGAAAGAAAATTTATGTTTATTAGATAAGATAATTTGTTAAAGGTCTAACAAAATTATGGTAATATAATACACATGAAGTAAAACTATTATTATTACTATTATTTTTAATTTTTTAAAAAATTATTTTTCATTAGGGTCACCAACTTATAAACACCAAAGCCAACCTTACATGAGCCCTCATTATCTTGCCTCTTAAAACAATAAATCAACTAGCTACTCTCCCTAACTCCAACCAAATTATATAATTTTTAAGAATAAGGCATCACTTGGTATCACCCAATTGCTGCTTTAGATATCATTTTTAAGAGTAATTCTACCTATTAATTAATAACAATTATAACCTCTGACTGATGTAGTTTAATGTACACTTAGAAATAGAATGTTTCTAAGTTAATGTTAACATATCATAAAAAGCATTAGATTTAATTCCAACTCATTAAATTGTGATAAATATTCATGTTAACATAATACATTAACATAATACCATAAAAAGCATTAGATTTAATTCCAACTCATTAAATTGCGATAAATCTTAAATTTCTGGAATAAAAATAAACTAGGAAAACTTTCGTTTTACTTTAGTAAAAAGGAAAGTTTCTTAAGGGCTAAACTGTAGAATAGTGAAAACAGAGAAATGTCATATTTTATATTCAGAGTCTATAACTGCTATCTATTTATGCAGAAAGGACAGTATTACACACAGAGGTCTGGTCTTTGACAGACATGAACTAATAACACCTTTACCTTCCCAGACTATCAGTACAACTGAAGTGGTCCTAAAATCTTACCTATCTGTTAGCCCGTATGCCAGATCAAGCATGTCATTCTCCTCATCAGTGATTGCGTCTAATTTCTCATATATGTGTTTTTCAAAGATAAGGTGACAGGTAGAACAAGCCAAGGTTCCCTCACATGCACCTAAAAAAGCAACAGACATTGAACATATTTTGCTCTACATTAAACACAATTTAAAATGGGTTTGAATTAAGTAAAGTTAATTATTTGTATATTTTGGAATCAGCATTGGCATACATAAATAAGACTTTATTTCCGAATAATGAGAGGGACAACTCCCTACCCCCATACACACTCAATTTAAAATCATTTTCACATATTATTTCAAAAAGATTCTGGAGCGCTCAACACAATTTATGAAGCCTTGTGGTATATAAGAGGAATTAGAAAGCAACCAAACCTGCATCTAAATAAAGTCACACAATTCTTCCCTCTTGGTCTTTCCTTGTAATCAGGACAGAATCAAATAAATTCACTTTAAGAGTCACATTGGTTTTAAATAATGAGATATTTCTCCTGTCTCATATTTTATCTATTAACTTAATAGTTATTTAACCAGTGCCTATCATATGCCAGGTGCTGTGAAAAAGGGAAATGACTGAATCTGTTCTGCATATCCTTTTCCCAGGGGTTACCAAACCTTTGCTCAAAAACTCCTGAGAAAGAAATCTACACCCATATAAGCCAACCAGTTTTGCATTTGGCTTCCACTGAGCTAAAGTCTGTAACTCACACTTCCACCAGATAATCCAATACTATCCCAAAGAATCCAATCCTTTCCCCCCACCCCATCTTTACTGAGATATAATTGACAAATAAAGTTGTAAGATATTTAAAATGCACACTGTGATGATTTGACATACACTGCAAAAGTATTCTGTCATCTAGTTAACACAGCCATTATCCATTTTTAGTGAGAACATTTATGTTCTATTCTCTTAGCAATGTCAATTTTACAACAGTGCTATCAACCGTAGTCATGTTATACTTTAGAGCCTCAGACCTTAATTATTTTACAGACGAAAGTTTTTACTACCTCTAGCCCCTAGCAAACACCTCTCTACTGTTTCTATGAAAATTTCATTAACTATTTAATGAATCCTTCTTTTAAACAACAGCTTTTCAGATATTTGCGACTGTCCTTCCTTCTCTAGGCTGAGCACACCCAAGTTTCTCACATGTTTCTTCTATAGCGGTTGTAAACCCCTTCCCTCAATCTGGTTGGGCTCTTCTTAAACTGTGGCAGTCAGGAGGGTCTGACAAAACACAATTGTGCACAATTGTTCTTGTTACATTGCAACTTAAAAATCGTTTTTCTAGTTTGTTTTTTAATACTAATTTTTTAAGTCATTAGACAAATTTGAAGATTATAGACTCCTAGGAGTTATTTCAGTTTGATTTAGATTTTCTTTTGGTCAATAAACAACACATAATATATGTAAGATAACTACCAACTACCATCAATAACTTGCAACCTTAATTTTCCTCTGAATGGATAGAACATTTTAGAAGAATTGTTCCCTCATAATTTAGTCCTTTGTGATTCATCTTTTGTTACCCTTAAAAAAAAAAAATCAAGAAAGAGAGCCTTCCTTAAATGTTCATTTTTATAAAATCTAAGTAACAAGGTTAAGTAGAGAGAGAACACAGAGCAAAGCACAGGAATAATAGCGTGGGCTCTGCAGCCAGACTCCCTGGCTTCAATTCCAGCTCCACTTTTACTAAGGGCATCAGGTTGGGCCACCTAACTTTTCATGCCTGTTTCCTCAACATTTTATCTTCACCAACATCACATAGTAGTTGTGAGAATTATATATGAGTGTGTGCTTAACATACGAGTACGTACTTGCAACCCATGACTGGTAGATAGTAAGCACTATACAAATGTTGGTAATTATTATTATTTGAAAATTATAGAAATCTTAGAGTAATTCAACTTTCTTTTTATAAATATAAAAAGAATTAAACGCAAAAAGTTGAATAAATACATTAAAGTCATACTATTAAATACTAATTACAGATGGGTCATGACTTCAGGTAAGTTTTCCAATGCTGGAGACAACAGGTTCATTTCCACTCAATAATCTAAATCACCTTACTTACATATTAAATATAATACACAAATATACATACACACCAACTAGTAATTTGAACAAGTATCTTAGTTTTCTATTTTTGTGTGAATTTGAAATATTTCACATAAAAGATAAATGGATATACTTTACTTAAAAAGGCCTTTCTCTGCATAAAACAAAATACACACACACACACACACACACACATATATATATATACACCCCCCATTCTACCCCACCCCCACAGATACATATATCAAGTTCGAAAACCCCTATAGTAAAAGGAGAATTGGTGTAGTGCAACCTTGAGATTAGGGGTCCAGGCTCTACATGGACCTACCACACCATCTGCTGTGTCCTGGGCAAGACTCTCAGTTTTCTTCTCATCTGTATAATAAGAGATTGTGGTAGATGATTTCTAAGGGCCTGTTGGCTCTAATATTTTATGACTCTATAGAAAAGTATTACCATTCTAAATGGATGTATTCAATAAATATATACTTATCTTCATTTCATTGTTTATCTTATCAAAACCCATGCACACAGATGATGTAATATAGAACTGCATACCCAAAACCTATATAATTAATTGCACTAACCAATGTCACCCCAATAAATTCAATTTAAAAAATACCCACTGAAGACAAACTCAAAACTAAAATGGCAAATCCCTCAGGAAATCCAGCCCCCTTTTGTCTTCAAAAATGTAGTCAAACAACCCTTACAAAATATACCCAGCAACTATCTTCAGATTTGTTATTAAAAAAACAACCTGAAAACTGCAAGCCAAGTATAACAGAAGATGCAAGGAAAACAACTCACAGTCCAGGGCAAGAGGTGTGTGAGGGCTGCAGGAGCAGCAGACCACTTGCTTTCTAAGGAGCTTGAACTTGTTCCATAAGCCCATTGTTCTCCACTGTTTCCCAACACGCTGGGTGGGTAACACAGGCTCAGTAAACTGTCTTTCATGATGGGTTACCAGAGATGACACTGGCCAAGGGTTTATGAATGAACCCATCGCCCCTCTTCCAGACCCAGCCCCTGGAGATTGTGGGTACGAACCTGTGCCCCCGGTTACAGAGAGCTGCAAGAGGATCCTGAGTGGGAGAGTGACGTAGCATACTTTATTTTGGATAGATCTCACTGGTGGTTTTGTGTAAAGGACGAATCTAAGATGAAAAAGAAGAAAAAGCCAAGAGATTTCAAAAAGCGAGAGGGGGGAAAGAGGAAAGGAAGGATCAGAGGCAGAGAGAGCCAAGGTGAGACGCCCTTCTAGAAAAGCAATCAAAATAAGAATGTCCCAAATGGTAGACAGAAAACCAGAAAAGTGCAATGTCAGATAAGCCGGGGGAAGAAAAGTGCATACAATATAGTCTCAATCACCCTAGAAGGGAGAGAAAAGTCCAAATGCCCATAAATCCTAACAGAAAGACTTAGGACATTTGTTTTTGTACCTCCTGGTCAGATGAAGTAAGGAGTTACTTACCATCCATCCAACTCTTCAAATGCTTTAAATTCTCTCTTCCCTAGGAAACTCCAATTCTTCTAACCTTTTTAAAGGTTTCTTTTCATTCTCTAATATCATTTTTATTGCCCTCTCACGAACCTTGCCAACTGTTTCCACATCTTGCTTAAGTTGCCAAGCTCAGAGCTGAAGAGAGTATTTGAGTAAGAATTTGACAAAGGTTGAGTGTATACAAATTAACTTTTTGGTTCCTACAAGCTAAGTTCCTATTACATGTTCTAGTCCCATGTTTATTCTTTAAATAAATGTATCACATTCATGATCCCTCATTATTTTACAGTCCCTTTCAAACTTTCTCCACTATAAGTTGAGACCAGGTACATTTTTTTTATTCCTCATACTAAAAAGAAACTTCAAAATTCAAGATGAAATCAACTCTGCCTGTATAAGATGGCTAACACTGAACCAGAGAAACATAATGGTCCTATTGTGATACAAGTACTACTATAGAAAAAAAAACTCTGCAGCAAAGATTTACAAGACACATCCTTCTCAAGTACACATAGAACACTGCCCAGGATAGAGTCCCTATTGTGTGGTATATAGTGAGTGAGTGAGTGAGTGAGTGAGTGAGTGAGTGTGTGTGTGTGTGTGTGTATGTAGTAGGTATGACCAAGTAGTTAAGGTGTTCTTGACCTTGCATTAAAAGTTGCAATGCATTTTCTCATAAAACCAAACTGTAAAGAGTGATTAAGTAGTTATGAAGAAATAGGTTCCATAGGTTAGCATGAAAATTTTGACACCATATATAACATGATTTCCATGAGAAAGTAAATTGCAAATGCCAGGTGGCTGACCTAAAAATGGACTTGGAGAATAAAACTACTCATAAAATTGGGAATGTCTGTTGTTTTTATTCTTATCACATACACAAAAAAACCACTACAAAACAAGCAGTGAGAGGCAAACTATAAAAGGGAAAAGGGTACAAAAGTTACCATTACATAGCCTTCAATCTAAAACTGATAGTTGATCAGAATATGAGTACAATAATAAAATGACACATGAAGAGATGGGGACTGAAAGTGTAAAAGTTATGTGACTTATGCTTACTTACTGCTTATATATAGTCTAGAGCAGTATGGGTAGCTGTCGGTTTTTAGTATCTTTATTAGTCGTTGGTTTTATAAGAGTAAATTAATGAGGGAAATATGTATATGTGTGTATGTATGTATAAATGCATTTATCTGTGTATCTGTGTATACAGATACACACATATGTCTATGTATTTATATATACAGATACACACATACATTTATGAGGGATGCAATCTCAAAGATTTTGAAAATTGTTTAAATCTCGTAATTTGAGTTATTTTCTCAATGAAACAAAATGTAGAGAAATGGGTTCATAGTTCATAAATCTATAATCCTCATATCACATTTTTTGGTTTTTAAGTTTTCATCATAAAGTTTAATTATGGTTCAGAAAAAATTGAGTGAATACCTTTATCTGAGAAAGTATATTGACTTGTGTAGACTACAGTTATAGAGTGTGGGAGGCTTGTAAGTTAAATAACCCTA